CTCTTCTGTTCCCTGGCGATCCTGCGCAGAGGACAGCAATGGGCAACCGCGACCCGGAGGAAATGCCCTGGGAGAGCCGCCAAGTCCGTGAACGGCTGACTGCGACCCAAGGCCCTAAGTGCAGCTGGGGCAGCCACAACCTCCGGATCCCCTCAAGTGGGGATGGCGCCCCTGGGCCAGCAGAGGCCTGTGGGGGCGGGGCGGGCCGGCAGAGCGCGCAGGCGCACGGCCGGAAGAGGGCGCAGGGGAGCGCGGGAGCGGGAGGCTCTGGGTGGGAGGCCCCATGGCGCCGCCTCAGCGCTGCCGCGTCCTCAGGTGCTGCAGCTGCGGCCTCTTCCAAGCGCACCAGGTGGGCTGGGCGCCGGCCTCCCGCGGGTGGCAGGTGTGGTGTGGGGTCGCGTCCCTCCGGCGTCGTCCCGGCCTCTCTGTTGTAGGTTTGGGGGAGTAGTGGCTTCTGCAGAGGCGGGCTCTGGTGAAGTCTAGTGACATTTGGGGAACCTTGTGGGACCCAGGCGGGGTGGGGGTGGCATCCCGGGACCCCGCAGTGCCCCTCAGGCTTCTCATGGGAGAAGCACCCCTCCCCGCCATGGGCGTCCTGTCACCACATCCTGGGGCTCTGCTTCCACCTGTGCCCCAACCAGCCTCACAGCTTGTCCTCTCCTGCCGGCTGGCGCTGCCTGTGTCCTTCTAAAGGACACCCCTTCTTGGTCCTGTGCTGGTCGGCTGTGTCCTGGCATCTGTAAAGACCGACTTCTGTAAGATGTGTGTTAAACAGCCAGTAGATTTTGGGGGTAAAATCACTTTTTGTATCAAATGCTTTCCCCATGATGCCAGTGTCTTGAGAGAAACAGCTCTTACCCTGCCCCCCAGATGCAGCTATTGAGTGGGTATCTGTTAGCATTACAAGCTAGGCATTTTAGATAAGAACTACTTTAGGGCCTCAAGAGATTTTTAATTTGCTTCTTAAAGTTTTATTTATGGGCCTGGCGCGGTAGCCTATTGTCAAAAGTCCTGGCCTTACACACGCCAGGATCTCTTATGGACACCGGTTGTAGTCCTGGCTGCTCCACTTCTCGTCCAGCTCCCTGCTTGTGGCCTGGGAAAGTAGTTGAGGATGACCCAAAGCCTTGGGACCCGGCACCCATGTGGGAGACCCGGAAGAAGTTCTTGGCTCCTGACTTCAGATGAGTTCAGTTGTGGCCACTTGAGGAATGAACTAGCAGATGGAAGATCTTTCTTTCCGTCCTTGCTTGTCTCTGTAGATCTGCCTTTAAACAAAAATAAATGCGTCTTTTCAAAAGGATCTACAGAGAGGAAGAGAGACAGAGAGGAAGACCCTTTGTCTGATGATTCACTCCTCAAGCGACCGTAACAGCCAGAGCTGAGCCAGTGCAAAACCAGGAGCCAGGAGCTATTGTGCGTCTCCTACCTGGGTGCAGGGTCCCAAGGACTTGGGCCATCCTCCTCTGCCCTCTGCGGCCACAAGCAGGGAGCTGGATGGGAAGCAGGGCCGCTGGGATTAGAACCAGCGACCACATGGGATCTCGGTATGTGCAAGGTGAGGACTTTAATCACTATGCTATCACACTGGGCCCAAGAGAAATACATCTTTTTAAAAGCCACTTTATTTTTATTTGAAAGACAAGAGTTTCCTAGAGGAGAGAGAGAGAAGTCCACTGGTGCACTCCCCAAATAGCAACGGCCTGAGCTGAGCCCATGTATTACTTCCCTATTTCAGTGTATTCTGAGGGTTGATGGAATGGAAATTATTTGCATGTTTAAGTTGCTGCACGTGGATAATGTAGTGCAGTTCTCATGCTTGTTTTCAACTCTCTGAAAAAGGATTCGAACCCAGAGGAGGATAACGCAGCCGTAGATCTGCATCTCGGGCATTCTCCCATTTCTTTGCAAGAGCCCCTCCCCTGAATTCAGGAGCATTTCCCTCTTACAGAGCCTAGAATGCTGAGCTCTGGAAGGATCAAACTGTTTCATCATTTAATAGACGGCAGACAGAAGCATACAGTTGTAGAGATCTTACACGCCATACCATCTCTCACTTGCTCCCCAGTGAGTTCCTTTCCAGTAGTTGTGTGTCTGCAGGTTTTGTTTAAGATTTATTTATTTTATTGGAAAATCAGATTTCTAGAGAGAAGAGACAAAGCTCCTCCATCCACTGCTTACTCCCCAAATGGCTGCAATGGCTAGAACTGAGCCAGTCTAGAGCCAGGAGCCTCCTGCAGGTCTCCCACATGGGTACAGGGGCCCCAGGCTATGGGCCATCCTCTACTGCATTCCCAAGCCATTAGCCTGAAGCTAGATGGCAAGTGAATCAGCTGGGACATCAACCCACTTGGATGCTACAGTTGGAGGTGAAGGATTAGCCAGTTGAGCCATTGTGCCAGAGCCACATCTGCCGATTTCCAGAAATGACTACTTCTGGAAAGGCTGAGTGAGACAGAGCTCAAAGCTGCTGTTTTGTGGCTTTACCAGGCAGAGTGACAGAAGGAGGGAGACACAGATTACCATCTGCTGCTTCCTTTCCCATCTGGCTGCAGCAGCTGTGCCAGGCAAGCCGGCTGAAGCCACGAGCTCTTCTGGGTCTTCCATGTAACTAGTTGTTTGTTATATAAAAGCCACATTAACTTGTGGAGATTGTGTTAGTTTTGTTTGCACCCACTGTATTAGATTTCCTTACTGTTTTGAGTCATTTCTCATTTGCTTTCCTATTTTCAGGTCAAAGATAAGTATAAATACTATTAACCATAAATAATGATCAACAATGTACACATAATCATCATTTTTTCTTTTTTTAAAAATATTTATTTATTGGAAAGTCAGATATACAGAGAAGAGGAGAGACAGAGGGGAAGATCTGCCATCTGATGATTCACTCCCCTAGTGAGCGCAATGGCCGATGCTATGCTGATCCGAAGCCAGGAGCCAGGAACTTCTTCTGGGTCTCCCACATGATGCAGGGTCCCAAAGACTTGGGCTGTCCTCAACTGCTTTCCCAGGCCACAGGCAGGGAGCTGGATAGGAAGTGGAGTTGCCTGGATTAGAACCGGCGCCCATATGGGATCCTGGGGCGTTCAAGGCGAAGACTTTAGCCGCTAGGCCACGCCGTCAGGCCCATAATCATTATTTTCATGCCTCTTAGTATGTTCTCTTTTCTATTTCGCTGGCTGATACCTGAAAAAAAAAAAGTAGTGACTGAATAGCAGGATCCTCATTGCAGTCTTGGCTTTCATGGAATGCCAGCAGTGGCTCTAGCTTTCAGCTGGGATTCAGGTGGCTTATGTTCAGAAATATTTAATCATCCTCATCAAAAACAGAAAGTAAATAAAATATAAGATTTTGGTGGGGAGGGGGAGAAAACCATGGGTGGTAGACATCTAACTTGATTTCATTCTACTTAAATAGGCAGTTTCCTGAACACCACTTATTAAACAGTCTGTTCTTATTTTTTAAAAGATCTATTTTTGAAGTCAAAGAGAGGAAGAGAAAAGAGAGGATTCCTTCATTCATTGGTTTGCTCCCTGGATGGCTGCAGTGGCCAGCTCTGGGCCAACCCAGGGCCAACCCAGAGCCAGGAGCTTCATCCAGGTCCCCCATCTACATGGCAGGGACCCAAACACTTGGGCCATCTTCCACCCCTTTTTCCAGGCCATTAGCAGAAAGCTGGATTGGAAATAGAGCAGCCAGGACACTAACCAGTGCCAACTTGAGATGCCAGTGTTATAGGTGGTAACTTTATCTGCTTTACCACACATTGTCCCAATGTCCTCATTTTTAAAAAAGACTTATTTACACAGGCTGGCACTGTGTCTGCACAGGCTAATCCTCCACTTTGTGGTGGCAGCATCACATATGGGCACCAGTTGATGTTCCGGCTGCTCCACTTCCTATCTGGCTCTCTGCTTGTGAGGGAAAAGCAGTGGAGGATGGCCCAAGATTTTGGGACCCTGCACCTGCGAGAGAGACCAGAAGAAGCTACTGGTTCCTGGCTTCAGATCAGCTCAGCTCTGGTCTTTGCAGCCACGTGGGTAGTGAACCAGCAGATGGAAGACCTTCTTCCTCTTGCCTCTTTTTCTCTATAAATCTGCCTTTTCAATGAAAATAAATAAATCTTAAGAAAGGAAGGGAGGAGTCATGGCGTGCTGGCCTAGCATCTAAAGTCCTCGCCTTGAATGCGTAAGGATCCCATATGGCACTGGTTCTAATCCTGGCAACCCTGCTTCCCATCCAGCTTCGTGCTTGTGGCCAGGGAAAGCAGGCGAGGACAACCCAAAGCCTTGGGATCCTGCACCCTCATGGGAGACCTGGAAGAAGCTTCTCACCCCTGCCCTTGGTTCCGGCATAGTTTCATGAATTGTGGTGACTTAGGGACTGAATCATGTAATGGAAGGTCTTCTTCTCTGTCTCTCCTCCTCTCTGTATCTCTTACCTTGCAATAAAAATAAATAAATCTTTCTAAAAGAATAGAAAGGAAGAAAGAAGAAAAGACAAAAGGAAGACCCTAACATCCTTGTGTCTGGGCTCAGTACAAAGGGTCCCCGTTTCATGAAAGAGTTACAGAGAGAGAGAAAATCCCCTTCTCATCACTGGTTCACTCACCACGTGGTCATCATGGCCAGAGCTGAGCTACTCTGAAGCTGGAGCCAGGAGCACCCTCCAGTTCTCTCATGTGGGTGCAGGGCCCTTGGGCCATCCTCACTGTTTTCTCAGGCCATTAGCAGGAAGTTCAATCAGAAGTGAAGCATCTGGGGGCTCAGTGTGATGGCTCAACTGGCTAAATCCTCACCTTGCAAGTGCCAGGATCCCATATGGGTGTCAGTTCATGTGTTGGCTGCTGTGCCTCCTATAAGCAGAGAGCTGGATTGGAAGTGGAGCAAGCAGGACATGAACTGGTGCCTGTATGGGATGACAGTACTCTAGGTGGAGGCTTAGTCTACTACACAGTGGCACTGGCCCCATCCACTTTGTTTTAAGAAGTGTTCTTCTACTGGTTTATTCAACAAGTGCTGCAATATCCAGAGCTGAGCCAATGCAAAGCCAGAAGGCAGGAGCTTCTTCCAGGTCTCCCACGTGGGTGCAGGGTCTCAAGGCTTTGGGCTGTCCTCTCCTGCCTTCCCAGGCCACAGGCAGAGAGGAATGGAGGAGCTGCCACTTATTCCTGGTTCCCAGGACTGGCCTGTGCTAGGGGATGCAGGCCCAGAGACTCTTTCTAAGGCAGCTGTGTTGGCATCAGCCTTCCTTTCACTTACAACTCACTGCTTCCAAGGGGGAGCAGGAGGGCTGTGTCTTTAATGAGAAACTGCAAAGGGAAGGAGGGAGGGACAGAGGCCTCGGCCAGAATCACTCAGCCAAGGGGCTCAGCCCAGAGCAACAGATGGCTCGTGCTCACTGGAGGCACTCAACTGTCTCTCTACTTTCTTCTGGTCCTTCATCTTGAGTCCAATGTCCACCCTTTTCTCAAAGAAGTTGACCAGCACAGACTCCGGCAGGATGGAGGCCAGGATCTGCTTGAAGGAGATGCACCAGTCTGCGTCCATGGTGTTCCCAATGCGGGCAGTGGCTGTGGGGTTCTCACACTGCAGGGAGCCCATGCTGACCACTGAGTAGGAGGACATGGATATGTTGTATTTGGTTTCATCATCAGACGGGAGCTGGGAGGGTGAGCCCTGCCCCTCTCCACTGCCCCCCTCTACCACCGTCTGTCTCTCCTGTGGCACTTTTCCAAGGTGGGTGTCTCCACCAGCTTTGGTCCAGGGGTCCCCCGTGGCTGTCAGCTGGCATTCCTGTACTGGGTCCTGATGGGATTCCCTTGCAGGTGACTGAGGGTCCCCCGTGGCTGGCACTCCTGTACTGGGTTCTGAGGGGGTTCCCTTGCTGGTGACTGGGGATGCCCCATGGCTGGCGGCTAGAGTTCCTGTACTGGGCCCTGAGGGGGTTCCCTTGCTGGCAGTGGGGACTCATCCTCGGTAGAACTGCACTGGTCCCTGCTGGGAGTGCCACCCGTGGGCTTCTTGACACTGGGACTGAAGAACTTCCCCACCTCACTGATGCGGAGGAGGCTGGCCACTGTGGCAATGGCGTGGTACAAGTCCTGCTCCAGGGGGTCCTCACTGAACATGTTGTATAGCGTCTTGCACAGCTCAATGAATTGCTCCTATCAAGGGGGAAGGCAGAACAAGGAGATGGTAAGATGGCCCTGGTGTTCATTCCATGCATGCTGCTGGCCACTGGAACTGGTACCAGGATGTGGTCCTGTTTATCGGCGCCAGACTAGTGCTCTAGTCTTACTTCACACACGGGAATGTGGAGGCTCAGAGTCGGGAGGGACCTAAGCAGTCACTCTGCCCTGCCGGGCTCTCCCCCTGCAGTGGACAGCAGCTCTGAGCTGGGCTCTCTGCTCCGACATGTGGTTCTGCTGTTGGGGATGCATGGCTGTGTGAACCCGGCCTTGACCATGGCTTCCTCCCTGGGGTCTGGCCTCACCCTTGGCCTTCTAGCTCCTGGGTGAAAACGACTTCAACTCTGACCTTCAGGGAAGCTCCCAGAGGGTGCTGCTGAGGGGGTGAGGGTGGTCTTGGGTCTCTAAACCACATCCTGGCCTGAGAGAGGGGTGAGACCACCCATTCCTCAGGCTGGAGAAGGCTTAGGCTCACAGGGCACCTCTGGGCATGGCCAGGGCCAGCCCAGCCCAAGCACTAAGGGCAGGCTGTAGTTCAGGGACTGCCTCTGGCTACTTTCTGCAGCTGAACCCAGGGGTTGCCCCTTCCTGCCTGGGAGACCCTTGGGAAGACAAAGAAGCTGCTGTCCCCAGAGAGCAGGAAGTGGAGAGCAGACAAGCCTGTGTGCACAGGGTGCCTGGGCAGGGAGTGTGAGGAAGCAGCTGTGGGGTAACCTTCCCCAGGGCTGCTCAGACCTACCACTGTCCCTCCACCTGAACAAGCGGTCCCTGTGCAAATGGCCCCTGAGCAACAAGCTCCTGACTTTCCAGAATCCTCACTGGGACTCCTGGGCGCTCAAGTGAGCTAGTGAGTAATGAGTGCCACCCTGTGTGGACCCTGGGGCGTGGTGCTGACATGGCATGCTGGGCCCCGGTGTCCCTCAGGGTTCTGCAGAGGTGTCTGCTGCAGCCTCCAGCCTGGCCCACCTGGTTCATTTTGGGCAGATCCTTGATGGTCTCCTTCTGAGCCTCTCTCCTTGGCCCACATGCGAAGGTAGAGTCGGTAGTCTGGGGGGCTGGTCCCCTTCTCCTCTGTGAGTCAGGAGGAAAAGACATTAATCTCGGCCTGTCATGACAGAAAAAGGGCTTGAGCTTGGGGTCAGGGGGTGGGATGGGCCCTGTTACAAAGCACCTGCATCTGGGGAGGTGCTGATGGGGAGAATGCCCTGAAGAAGGGATGGCTCAATGGGATGAGGATGGTCCTGAGGCTGTGTTCTAGGCTGTGAGAGGTTGGCCTGAGGAGCTGAGAGCTTCACAGGGGACACCAGGCACCACAGGGGACAGCAGGGCCTCCAGCCAAGGTCACTGACCTTCAGGGCATGCCTGTCAACTGGGGGCCAGGCAGTGGGGGAGCTTTGCAGAAGTGACTGGGGATGGTCACAGCCCACATGAAACCCCAGACCTCAGCCCTGAGACCCTGAGAATGGCCTGTACCTGCTCGCTTTTCTTGGGTATCCTCGCTTCTGCTTCCTTCCCGATCTTCCTGTGGTAGTGCCTCTGCCAACCAGGAAATAACAACATGGAGCACATTCTTCTCCAGCTGGGACTGCAGCCCACCTCTGCCGAGGTCCAGCCTGTGCTTGTGCGGGAGCAGCCCCGGGTTCTGGTTCCCTGCACGGAGCCTCCTGCTTTGGCCTGACCCTGAGCTCTGCCCTCCGGCACCGTCAAGGAGGGCCTGGGCATTTCCCCACTTGATCACTGAAAGCAGCAGCAGCTGTATCCCACTCCGTTTTTGCTTCTTTGTTTTCTTTTTCCAGAAGACTACAAGTCTCCCCCATATGCAAACAGCAATGCGGTGTGATGGACAAGCCTGAGAACTGATGAATCCTGTGGTTTCGTTAGGAAAAGGTCACCTGCGTGGGATCACACCTATGACAGCTACACCAGGAGGGAAGGAACTTGACAGACATGAACCCTGTGCTCAGCACATCCGCTGGAGGAGGACCACACTGTGCGGTTCACGTGTGAACATGAACCTGGGGAGGAACAAGCTGCCCTGGTCTCCCAGGCCTGCTGCCAGAAGACAGGCGAGGACAGAAGTAGCCCAGCCCTCAACTGCCTCAGTGAGCATGGGTGACAGTGCAGGGCCTGGGGTGCTGTGGGGTCTGAGGTCAGGGTTCTGCACCCAGAAGCACACAGCACAAGCTTAAAGCTTCCCAGGTTGCCCAGGGTCCATGTGTAACAGGAAGCACACCTGCTGCTTTGGCCTGTTACTGGAAGCCAAGGCCCTCCGGGTCCGTGAGCTAAGCCTTCACGGTCAGCAGGACCTGTGGGTCCTTCGACACACACACTATTTGTTTCCCCTTTGGGCCTGCCACATGACGTCACAGCACAGAGTGGTCGCCAGCCGTGTCATCAAGTCCTGGGGTCCAGGAGGCACTTGGCAGCCTGTGCTTTACACTTTAAATGCAGCCTGAGGATAAGGATGGGTTCTAATGGCTCAACATCCGTATTTCTTCTCCACAAAGCAGTGTTTTGTGCTTTCTGAGGAGAGCATATGCCCTGCCGTGCCCAGCTTCCCCTGGTCCCTGTGGTCTGTTTCCCGCGGTTGCAGTGACCACCCCTGCTTTTCCTTCCTCTGCCTATGCTGACCCATGGCCCTGTGCATGTCCTCACCTACTAACCACCCCACAGCAGGACACACGTGCCAGTGGTAGAGTCTGCCAGGCCTGGGGGCCTTGGGACAGGAGTGGGGATGGGGGTGTGAGGGGATGCTGCCACCCAAAGCCAAGGGAGCCTTCCTGTGCTCCGGGCACTGACCTTGAGCCTCCCAGGGCAGGAAAAGATCCAGATCAGAGGCCAGAGGAGATGCTGGGAGGACAGCATAGGAGCAGGAGGGCAGAGGGAGGAGGAGCCGAGATCCAAGAAGACAGACACAAGAGAAACAGGAGTGAGATCACTGCCTGCCCACAGGGACACCTGGCTGCAGGAAGCCAGGGTGGGCCCCAGCTTGAGACCCCTCTCAGGACACCCCAATGCCCCCAGCCCCCCAGCTGGAAGCCTCAGGGAGCCACTCACTTCTGAGGAGCTGTCTTCCGTGAAATAGTGGGTGGCCTCCAGGGCTGACTCGGCTTCCTCAGAGTTTAGGGCTGCACTCCGAGATGGGTAGAGTGAGAGTCTCACCTAGAGCAAGCATCCCAGCTCCTGGGCAGACCGCACCTGCCCTTTCCCGCTGGACTGGCCTGACCATCCTGGCCACCCTCCCCCTGCCACCATGACCCGTGTGGCAGTTTTAAGGCTGACTGGCTTGGATTATTTGCTACTTTCTGATTCTTAGGTGAGTGTGTAAACACCCAGTGTCTTTCAGGTTAAAGTGCAATCAGTGCCTCATACAATCCAGGGGTGTGGGGGCACGTGCTCACCTGGGGGAAGGTGCAGCTTATAGAGCACCTTGAGCTTTTCAGTCATGTCCCCGTGGTACATCCCGCCTGTGGGAGAAGGCAGGAGGAGGGCATGATGAGAGGGGCTCCCCAGGACGGTGCAGGCTCCAGGGGGCTGGGACAGGACCTCCTCACAGCTGCAGAGGGCCCGGGAGCCAGTCCCAGGCTTCCTCAGAGTATCGCCAGGCCAGCTCAGCCTTCCCTGCGGCCAGCTGCCCCAGCCCCACAAGGGAGGGAAGGACAGACTGGCCAGGGATGCCATGGGAAAAGGCCAAGGCAGGGTCAGGCCCCTGGAGGCACTCACTTTTGTTTTGGAGCATAGTTTTAAGATGTGTATATCTTTAAAATAGAAAGGCAGATTTACCAGAGAGAAGGAAAGAGAGAAGAAGATCTTCCATCCATTGGTTCCCTGGCTGGAGCTAAGCTGATCTGAAGGCAGGAGCCAGGAGCTTGTTCCATGTCTCCCATGTGGCTGCAGGGTCCCAAGGCCTTGGGCCATCCTTGATTGCTTTTCCCAAGCCAGAAGCAGGGAGCTGGAAGGGAAGTGGAACAGTCAGGATATAAACCAGCACCCACATAGGATCCCAGTGCATACAATGTGAGGACTTTAGCCACTAGACTATAAATCTTAATTTTTTTTCCTTTTTGCCTAACAGTCAACGCCAACCTAACTTGAATCCAGTGCCTAACTTGAGTCAGTCTGATCATTTGGAAGAAAGGTTCCCTTGTCCTGGGGCTACTGAGGGGATAGCGTGTCCCTGGAGCTGCAGACAGCCATGGACTCTGCAGGAAGCGCAGTTCAGAGAACGTCAGAGGGTGAGAGAGTGTACAACACTGCATCTGAGTCCCTGGATCCAGCCAGGCCTGACACTGTCTCCCTCAACTCTGCAGTTCCTTGAGCCCATGAACTTCTGCTGTAAGCTGCCTTGTGCTTTCTAAGGGAGTGTTCTGCCTAAACTCCAACAAGGCTTAACTTCTACCACTTAGACTTCACAGCAAGTGCATGCACGGATGCTTCCAAACCCCTTCTCTTCCAGCAGGAACCTCTGTGCTGAGGATGCTCTTGGAAGACAAGGTCACAGTTACAGGTCCTGTCCTTGTTCTCGGCTCTTACCTTAAACACCATGTAAAGGTCTTCCAGCTCTTCAGTGGAGAAGCCAGTGTCCCCAGGTATGGCTCGGACCTAGAAGAAAGAGACAGGCTGGGCTGAGGGACTCTCAAGTGCCTGTTGCAGCAGGAGACAGATTGTCACAGGGACCAGGGCAAAGGCACGAGCTGCCCCTCAGTGTGGCAAGTCGGCCATCCCACTGAGGGCAGGGCCTTGCCCTGCTGGCCTCTCACCACCCAGCCTGCCACTCAGTGCAAGCTCCCTGAGGTCTGTGCCCTAGTGGGCTGAGAGTGGGGGACATGGGACATTGTTTAGTTCCTCCTGTCTGGACCTCTGCTGTGACCCAGGTGCCAGCTCTTGGGAAGGGGTCCTGAAACCACCAGCCAGCTGCTCTCAGTCAGCTGGAGCCATCCGTTTCTGTCACTTGTGACCTCAGAGTGTCTGAAAGGTTTGTGGGGGGCACTGGGGAAGTGGGAACGAGGTTGGCAGTCAAGAGACCATGAGTAGATCCTGTGGCAGGGGCACCTGCACCCATCCAGGGATGCGGAGGATGAAGGCTGGAGGCAGAGGCACGGCACGCAGGTGCTCAGAGGGCAGCTGTGGGATGCTCGGGGCGAGGGGAAGGGACATGTGGCAGAGCTTGGGAGACAGAGGGTGCTATGCCTTGGGGGAACGGGGCTTCAGACAGGCTTCCCACTGGCCCATCTGGGAGCAGAATAAAACGACCATGTCCTCTCCCCGCCATGCCCCTGCCTGGTCCCACACATCCTAATGCTGACACTGGTGGTGAGGCAGCAGGGGAGTGTGCGTCCTGCCCCACAGACAGGCCTGAGTGGGAGCCCCCCAAGCCCACATACCACACTCCTCTTGGCTGTGTCCTCCAAGCACTGGATCACTCTCAGCCTGTTTAAACCGCATCTGCTCAGTGTCGCTGGCCCGCAGGATGCTGAATTTCTGCAGGCAGGTGGGGATGATTAGGTGAGACAATGCACAGCCATGGGGTGCAGGGCTGTCACCCCCCAAACCTCCCCATGGAGTGCTGACCTCATAGGAGGCTTTGAGGAGGTCAAAGATTTCTGTCTGTGTGGGAGGCTCGTCTCCACTGGCCAGCAAGGCATGGAGGTGTGGCACTGGTGGGGAAGTACTCTGCTCATTGACCACATTGTCCAGACATCTGTGTGGGCAAGGGGTCAGACATCGAGACCACTCATAGTTATGGCAGACCCTCCAGGAGGATAGAGTGTGCCCCAGCAGACATCCTGGAAAGTCAGGGAGCTCCCCTCAGGCCTCAGCCCCTCCCTCGCATTAGGCTCTGCACGTGGAAGGTGCCGGGATATCTTTTGGGGCTCCATGGACAAGGAGCTTGTTTAAGGCCACATGTTGGGACCTAGTCTGGCCAGGACCCCCTGACCCCTGCTGTGGCTCCTGCTTAGCAACCAAAGATGTCCTGACAGTTAGGCTTACCACTTCACAGGACCTCAGAGTGGGTCGCTGCAACTCTGCATCCCAGACAATGAGAAAGAGGGCAAGACAAAACAGACTTGACAAGAACATCACACACAGGAACTGCAAGGCTCTGCTGTCACTGGGAGATTCAGAGCCACAAGCTGACTTAGGTCTCAAAGCTACTCCTGACAACACCAGAATCTGAACTTGGCCTTCTGGCTTCCAGCTGGAGGCCTGCATGAGGTGAAGTTGGCCGTGGCAGATCTATGCTAAGGTGACCCCTGTCAGCAGGCCTCTGGCAGGGCTCTTTACACACTGATGACAGCATAAAGCAAGATCTGAGTTTTGCAGCACTAAATGTGCAGTGGGGCCTGTTGGGTTCCTGGGAGCAGGAACACACACCAAGTGACTGAATGCCTTCAGCAAGGGAGCATGAGCCTGGAGAGGGCAAGGGTGGCAGGGTGTGCAGAGAGGCCAGGCCAACCTCAGTGGACCCCAGGGTGTCACGATGCCCTTTTGGCTGAGTTAATTTCATGAGATGAGCAGGGAGCGAAGGGAGCAGGCAGAGAAAGGAGTTGGCTCCACACAGGCAAGAACAGGAAGCTGAGCTTTGGGGGGTAAAAAGCTCATACTTCAACAGTTCTGTGTGTGCTTGGTGATCACTGGGAGCAAAGTGGAAGCAATATTCCCTATCACCAACCTTCTGGGGTGGCCAGGTGCCCCTGGGAGTGCCCAAGTCTGGGATGTCACGTTTGTGCAACAGCTGGGCCGACTCGGGCTCCATTTCCTGGTGGGAGGAAAGTGCTGTCAATAGTCCAGTCCTGCCAGCACAGTGCCCCGCAGCCTCCCTGGCAACCTGGCTGGCCACAGGAGGTAGGGAGCCTCCATGCAGCCACTCAGCTGCAGCCCAATGGCAGATGGGCTGTCCTGTGCTTGCCAGGCAGCTCTGCCCCACGGCTGGTCCATCTACCTCCCATGGCGCCTCAGGCGGTGTCTGCAGAGAGCTGAGCTCCTGTGCAGTCTGCAGTATCTGCTTCGCCAGTGTAAACCTCCTGCCCCGGTCAACACCCCTAAGCCCCTACCCCTTGATGTCACCGTGTGAGCTGCTCACAGAGTTCAGCAAGCATCCCTGTGTCAGCAAGCAGCGCCTGTCTCATCAGTCCCCACCTGAGCCTCCTGGAGGGCACTGGGTACAGCCTGGCACCTTTTGCTGGGCAGCTCCTGACTGAAGGGAGGGTCTGACTCCTCCATGTCGGATGAGGACTGTCCATGGAAACACACTCCTCCTCCCAGCTCCAGTTCCGGGGAGTCCTTGTGCAGACACTTCAGCCAGCGGCTCTCAGAGGGCTGTGTTGGGAAGAACAGGAAAGCAAGCCCTTTGACTGCAGCTCTCACACCCAGGGCTCAGGGATGGTGCCTGCTGGCGAGGCCTTGGAGAGGCAGCAGAACCCCCGAACGTCCATGCTCCCTGACCCAGTGACCCCACACAGACAACAAAGGCACAGAGATACTCGTGGCGCTGTAGACGCCATTGTTTAGAAAGTGTGGAGACAGCCTCAGGCCCTCAAAAAAGGGATCAGTGCCAGCAGCCCGCTTTCCACCATATTCTGTTTTAAAAAATGAAAATACCTGGAAACTGCAACAACACAGAAGCATTTTGTCAGTGAAAACTTAAGCAAACAAGCCTTTTCTTGATAGAAAAATGATGTAACATTAAGCATTCGAGTGGCTGACCCGGAAGCTCAGGTGCTGAGAGCTGCTTCTTTTATTTGTGGGTGTGTGTGCGGGGGGGGGGGGGGGGGGGACGGGAATTGATTCAAGGTCACAGTTTGGAAGACCCTGGCCCAGGGCAGTAGGGATAAGAGAGGGACTAAGACTTGGTTGGGGGTTGAGGGAGGAGGCCCCACTGAGGTGGAGTACACCAGCTCACAGGCAGGATTGGCATGGGGGAGGTTGTTAAAGCCGTTGTTGAAACAGCCATGCTGTCCATAGTGCCAGGAAGCCCGTGTCAGCCAGAATCTTCGGAATTTAAAAGGAAACGGGTGACAACCAGAGTAGAGCATGGAAGCTCTCCCCAGGCTGGCCTCGGCGCCCTGGGACTGCTGTGTGTGCCATGAGGAGCTCTCCATGCCTTCGTGCCTTGACACTCAGGTCCCAGATCCTGGCCTCATTGAAGGCAGAGGCTCCAGGAATTCTGGGCCAGCAGGTGAGCAGGGCTGCCTGGGTCTGCGATGCACCACTCAGCTGGTCCCCACACTTTGCTTCCTCCACAGGCTGAGCTGTCTAGAACCCGAGACTCACCCAGGTGGTGGCTGGTGGCGTCTGCCTCCTGGATGAGCAGGTGCCTGGCTCCCGCAGGGATCTCAAACATCTTGATGTAGCCTTGGTGCAAGTGCAGGAGGACAAGGCCCAGTGAGAAGTCGGCAAGCCCCACCCACCCACTGTGGGCTCTGACCACCCACCAGGAGAGGGGCCAAAGGGAGAGTGGCTCCAGCCCCTCTGCTTGTCTTCAGACCCAGACACCCCACTGGCCTCTTCCACTGGAAACACAGTGGGGAGTCCAGGCTGCATTCCTCCAGGCAGGGATTCAGAGCTGCCATGTTTAGGAGGGAGGCTCTGGGTACTCCACGTGACCTGTGTAATTCTCAGCCACTTGCTCTGCACGTGTCATCAGACATCCAACCTCTGGTAGGGCTGTACTAAGGCCAGCCCACAGCCCCTGTCTTTAGGACCTGGACCAGCACCGGGTACAGGATGAGGTCCACGTGGTCACTCTATCACTTTATTCTCAAAGAGGTCAACTAAAGTGGCTTCTCCCCATTTCAGAGGTGGGCTGACGGAGGCCCAGAGGGATGCAGTTGGTAGCTGCTGGCCTGTGCAAAGAGCTGAGGCCTGGTGGAGGCACAGCCCCAGGCATGAGTGTGGTTTGAGCACATCTGGAAGGGCCCTGTGTGCTGCTGCTGGTGGTGGTGGTAGTTAGGAAGTAGTGGGACCTACAGGGACCTGGTGGGAGTCAGTCAGGTCAGGGCCTGGGGGCCCTCTACCACTCAGTACCACCCTCTCCACCTCATGTGGTCTAGGCCCTGTAGGAACCCAGGTCACATCCAAATAAACCTCTTCACTCACATGGTGCCCAAGTCTGGACAGTGGTGACAACAATGCAAGAGACAAAGACAGAAACCCACCCCAGAGCCTGTCTCCCCTGGTGAGAGACCCATAGCACCTAGCCCCACCCAAGGCGCCAGAGAAGTCAGACCTTCCATGCTTCCAGGTCACCTAGCAGCCCAGGGAAGTGCTGCTGAAAGCCAGCTGGGGAGGAGCCTGCTGCAAGACAGAACTCCAGTAGAGCTTCCTAAGGTCTGTTCTCTGCCCTGTCACCTGGGGCCCTCTCCCTCTGCTCCCCAATCCCCAACCTCTGCCAGGACAGGACTGACCCAGGGGCGGGACTCACCGTGCCTCTTGGGGGAGCGTGTGAACGTGCCCTTAACCACCTTGCACCAGGTGTTGTCTCCTCCGCACACACCACACTTGTCCTCCTGCTTGCTGGAGCCGATCACCCCATCACAGCCCACCTTCTGCAGGGGAAGCAGGCTGTGAGTAACCTGCACACCCTCTCCTCGCCCTAGCACCTGCCTGTGACCTGGCACCAGTTACCCCTTTGCCCACTATCAGGGGGAGAAAATCAGGCTCTGGTTTCAGGAGGAAGACAAAGCCTGCTAGCCGTCTTCCGGGAGTGTGACCTGAATGATGCCCCCTTGCAGGCCCAGAGGTCCAAGGGTTAGGACACAGCAGGCCTTCAGGGGACACCCTTGCTCTGGCACTGTACAGCAGAGGCCTGGCTTCAGAGGCTCCTACCCTAAGGTCCACTCCCTGGCCAGTCCACTCAACACCGCCACACCTGCACTAGAATTATTCTGTCCAGAGGAAAGGCGATGCTCTGCTCCAGGCCACCTGGGGGAGGCAACAGCATACTGAAGTGATTTGATTTTCCATGGTCCTAGCAGTGTCCACTGCTAGGCTCAACAAGGAAAATCCCTCTTTGGGGCTAGTCTGTGCCCACTGACCACCCTCAGAGTGCTTGATGGCATCACAGATTCCCCCCTTCCTCTTGGCTGCCAGGAAGCTCGGTGCTAATTCTCCCTTAGCAATCTTCCTGCACCAATTAGGAGAAACTCTTCCTCCTGGCACTGTGTGTTCTGGTGCTGGTCTTACCAGGACCACGGCGGGCAGGGGGCTCTAGACCCTGACAAAGCTAAGAGCAGCTCCTCTGTAGGGGCTCAAGTTCGCAATCTTTGGTTTTCAGCTTTTTCATTCACTTTTGGAAGTGAGCAGGGTAAAAGCATTCCGTACAAGGAGCACGCTTGTGTTCACATGGATGGTTCTAGAGAAAAACCCATCTACCAAAAGGAGGCAGCATGGTGGGCCCAGCCTGGGAGCACAGGCATCACCCCTGTCTGTGCACCCCCACAGTGTGCTCCCTAAACACTGTTTGTAACAGCAATGGACCTGATGTTGCTCTCTAAGCACAGGGTAGCTGGCTGGCTAGGACCTGGCCCCAGACATTACCCTGCAGATCTTGGGAACTCGTGTTTGGGTAGAATTCTTGGCAGCTGTCAAGATGGTGCATCCTGGTGTGCACACAGAGTCTGGCTTATGAATTATGCCTGGAATTGTGAGCTCTTTCTAACAAGGGTCCTACCAGGCAACTGGACAGGCTGCAAGAAGATGGGGAAGAGGAGGGAAGGGAAGTACAGCATGCTATGAGAAGCCACAGTGGTTCTGGGGTTTCCTGCTGAGAGGCACAGAGTGGGTCACAAGGGACAGAGAACAGCCAAGCTCTGCGTCCAGCAGTGCTGGCAAGCTGCAGCAGCAGCCTGGCATCCCTTTTTCTGGAAGTTTGGAGGGATATTGTCTGGCAACAGATAAGGCAGTTACTGGCGTTGCTCTTGCCAGGCAATGCAGCCCTCTCAGGGTTCCCAGGGACAACATCTCATCCTTGGAAAAGCCCCTGATGATGCAGGTGCCATTCAACATCCAGCATCATGCAGCTGGCCTCACTCAGGTAGGCAGGAACACCAGGCAGATGAGGCTGTGAAGGGTAAATGATGCTGCTAGCCTACCAGCTCTTCCCTTTAATTCTGAAAGGGCTGATGGTGCAGAGAATAACTGGGGTGGAAGATGTTGCAGTGCTAGCGGGTGACTATCCCCTGGGGGTAGGGTTGGGGGCAGTGGGGAGCTAACGAGGTCTGGCTTTTCTGTCTGTGATACAGTCCTGTCCATCAGCCCCTCCCTACTGTACAGAGGTTTTACAACCTGCATGCGGTGATGCGTTCTGAATTCACCGAAGCATGGACCCTGTCGGCCTCGCTCATGCCTGCTTCACCAAGCCACTGCCGTGTGTGCCACACCTGGGGCAGGTCGGCACACCTCTCTCCATCTTTCTGTGACCTGCCGGGGACCATGGTAACCTTCTCACACGGCCTTCCTGATGCATTCTGCTTCCTGTATTATGACTTTCATGGTACATCTTTGTGGGGAACAGCACAGAAATATAATCTGCAGATGCCACAGGCCCTGTTTAAAGCCATTGGGTTTAGATGATCCCCCAACAGCTACCTGGTGTTCACTCATGTTAGGTTCCCAAGAGGGTATTAGGACATTTGACCTCCTCTGCTTCTGTTGTCCGGATCAGAGGTGAGGTTGCAGTCATGCCCATGAGATGGTGAATTAGCACACCCAGGTTCAGAACCATGGACAGCTGCTTCTACTGCTAACGGCGCCCCCTACTGAGGGCCAGCACTGAGTGAGTGAGTGAAGAGAGAGAGAGAGAGAGAGAGAGAGTGTGTGTGTGTGTGTGTCCGTCCCTTGGCCTGCACTTTGCTGTTTAGACAGCTTAACATTCTTCTCATGAACACACTTTCCACATGCAAAGCAACCCCTCTTAAGTATATAGCCCAACACTGTCTTTATCTGACTCACCTGACCCACGTACATCCAGCCAGTTTCCCCAGCCCTCAGCCAGGCCGGGGCTTGGCATCCCACAATACAGCCTCCTACCTTTTCTAAAGTATTATTTAAAGGATCCCAAAAGGGTGCCTGCTTAGTTTTGCAGTTTTTTGAGGGCTGGGGGTAGAGAATGTGGCCCAGGTTCTCCAGACACTGAACCTGGCCCAGGCTCTTCCTTACCCCTGTATCCGGCCAACCCCACTGCCTCCCACTGTGCTCCTATACACAGCCCTGCCCTGGTGCAGGTTGAGCCTGGCTGGACACCCGGGTGCTCAGGCAAATGCACACTCCCAGTCATGGCCTTGAGCTCAACTCCCTGTGGCCAGCCCACCCTGACCGCAGGGTACTCACCCTGCAGTCCCCGCGCACGCAAAGGCTGAAGGCGTCCTTGTAGGAGCAGCGTGTGCCGTCGTGCACCATGCGCTTCATGGACACCACCTCCCCGGTCTCCTTGGACTCGCAGTAGAGGTGACAACGTTCCTTGGCTGGAGGGAGATGGCATGGCATTAGCCGGGAGCTGGGAAGGAGGGTTCCTGTGCCTGCTGGCTTACAGCACCCACACTAAGGGGACCCTGTCAGGAACCCTGGCAGCAAGATCTGCATCTCTGTTCACAGCTAAGCTGCAGCCCCAGTGCTCCCTGTGAGCTTGGTGCCTTCCTGAGCTGCCAGCCTGGCTGCCTGGCCCGTCAGGTCCACATGCTCCATCAAGCTGTGACCTTGCTCTCCGTGGTCTGAGTGGCTGCTCTCACTCCCTGTCTGCCTCTCAGATCCACCCTGAGCAGGGCCCACCAGTGCTGACAGATGTCCTACCCCACTACACCTCACTACTTCTGCCTCACGTCTGACTTCTCTCTTACAGGAAGACAAGAACCTCTGTTCCAGTGGTGCCTGCTAGCAGCAGAAGGCACACAGGGTGTGCAAATGCAGTGCCTCTGTCCCCAATGGGTCTCTGCACTGGTGCAGCCTTGCAGCCGAGTGATGGCTGCATAAGACATGTCACGGCTGCAGCTCCCAGGTTTTTCTGTCCTGTGAAGCCACAGACGCCTTAGGGTGTGTTTTCCTAAGCAACACCTGTGTCCCATCCCAGGGATCCCTGCTGAACCAGCTCTTCATTCCCGGCCGGCCCAGTCCTGCACCTCCAGTCCTGCCCACCAGGTGGCGACGGCGGACTTCAGTCCTGCTTGGCCTCTCTGGCCTTGCTCTGGCTTGCCTGGGATTGCTACCTTGTTTGGAACCTAAGTCCCACCCACCCACCCCCAGCAGCAGGCCCCGTGGGTCCTGAAGTATAGAAGGGTGCAGGCCCCAGCTGGACTTGCACCAGCCCAGATGCTGAGCCCCTGCTGTCCCTGGTCTCACCATCCCAGTGCTCGTGGGGTAGCCAGTGGTGCTGGCCATCACCATGCTCAAAGTACAGGTCCCACTGTTGGCACTGTTCCTCGTGGAAGTCGGCCAGGGTGCCTGGGCAGTCCTGAGGGTTGCAGAGCTGGAAGTCGTAGGCAAGGCCTGAGCAGGTGCGGCCACCATTGGCTGGGCTGCAGGGGAAAAAAATATAAGACCTGCCGCTGGGAGCCACCGGGTAGCCAGCACTTGGGGTGCCATTTGTGGAACAGGGAGGTCCCAGATGGTGGTCCCAGCCTTTGCCTGCAGCCTGGCCCAGCCTTGGCTATTGTGGGCATCTGGGGAGTGAACCAGCAGATGGGAGATCTCTCCCTATTCATCTCTTATAAATAATAACTAAATTTTAAAATGTCCTTAAGAGTTTGTGAGAATGCAAGGGCCTCCTTCCTGCCTCAGCTCCTATCCAGGGTAGTAGCTTGGGGCCTCCAGACAGGAAGGAGTGAGCATGAGCAGAGAGGGTTCCGTGGACAAGCTTGGGAGCTGGCCCCACGCAAGGTATTCTGAGGGAAAGCTGACCACTGCTGAGCTCTGGCCCTCAGATCCTGTAAGGCTAAGATGAACTTGACTTCTGCTGTGGTCTGGATATGATTTGGTCCCCAGACTCAGATAGGAATTCAAATCTGAGGTTGTAGATTCAGAAGGTGGAAACCTCACCTTTTAGGAGCAGGGCTCAGTGGGAAGGCTTCCCATCCTTGAGGCCAAGCCTCTGGTTCTCACAGAGACCAGCCTCTGCTTCCTCTCACCCCCACTGCCACCTGCTGCCTGCGCCAGAGGCCAAACCAATGGGGTAGTGCCATCTTGGACTTGAACCCTGCAAGCCATATGCTATGTGGACTTTTTCTCTTCCTAAAGTGAGTTGGCTCCAGAATTCTGGCATTGTGATGAAGAGCTCGCTGGTTGAACCTCTGATCCAGGAACCCTGAAGGCTGATGCCTCAGGCTCCCCATGGCCAGCACAGAGCCTGATCACAGATGGTCAAATGGCCCAAGTGGGTGGACAGGGCGATCTGCTGCAGGGGGTGTAGCTTGGCTGAACATGCATGCCCTCTAGAGCTGAGTCTAGAGCTGCACTGATGGCGCTCAGCTTGGAAGTCACAACTCTGTTTTATGCTATTTCCTGTGAAATTCCAGAGTTTTAGTATTTTCAGATAAACCGAAGTCTTGAAAACACTAGACAAGTGAAATAAAATGAAAGAGAGAGAAAAAAAAGGAGGGAAAAAGAAAGCAGGAACAGAATAAGAGAAAGCAACCCTCCTGTGTTCACACAGCCATAACCACAGAGCCTCCAGCATGAGGCCCATGAGCAGGTGGAAGTGCTGGTGTAATAGAGATTTAGCCATGATGCTGGCTTCACCCACAGTCCACTCTCTAAGGGCACACACTACACTGGCTGGGCCAAGGGAAGGGATTAGGTAGGGGATGCTCTCAGGCAATCAGGGCAGGGTAGGAATGAAGAGCTGGCTGTGGGTGGGGGAAGGACATGGATTGGGAGAGGGGTCTGCCTGCGGGGGTGAGGCTGGTTAAGGGTAGCCCCACAAGCTCTCTCCCTGTCAGGCAACTCTGGGGTAGCAGGTCCCAACCCTGTCTCCCAGGCACTGAGAGAGCCTCCTCTCCATCCCTGTGTCCTCCACAGCTGTGCACCTGCTCCCCTCCATGCCCAAGGACACGGTGGGTTGATGGTTGACAGCTCAGGAACGCAGGTTTCCAGGCTGTGTGGGTGGCAGGACCTGACCTGCCCTTCTGCTCTGGCCTGCAGGGTAAATCTGGCCTGCGAGGATTTGTGGGGGACTGCAGCTATCGCTGAGGAGACACTGGGGCCAACTTACGGTGGGTTGTCACACTGGCGGGTCCTGAACTTCACACCTGTGCCGCAGGTGCGTGAGCAAGAGCCGAATGGGGTCCAGGCGCCCCAGTTGCCATCCCGTTTGAGGATGTCAGGTGTCAGCCAGATGCAGTGTCCCTTAAAGCAATGCTGCAGAACAGACAAAAAGCCATGCCCTTGACCTGAATCACACAAACAAGGCTACTCGCACAGCCCACCCCACTGTGAGGCCTGGGCCACCTGCCCTGTGCCAAAGCACCAGGGGCACATGAGGAAAGGTATTCCCACACTCAAGGTCAGGTCTGGCTACTGGCTGGGCACTCATGTCCCTCCATCTCCCAAGGCCAAGGGGAAGGGCTCAGGCAGGAGGTGCCTCGTGCTGGCCTCCCTCCAGCTCTGGCTCTGCCCTCCTGATCACAGCATGCCCCCACAGTATCTGTAAGAACAAGGTTACCCACATGCCCATTTTGGGAGTGACAACAGCGCATCCAGCTCATGATTCCAGGGACATTGCTTAACCCATTTACAAAGTCCCACCAAAGGAGGGTCTCTGCTTTTTATTGGTTAAACTTGTCTGGTAAAGTATTATGCCTTTTTGCTGTAATGTTATTCTCAAAAACAAAACAAACCAAACAAGGGAGAGAGAGGAAGAAAGGGAATGTTACATTGTTAGAATTAGATCTACAAACTATATTGAATCTGCTAAAAAGAAAAAAACTACTTAAAACTAAAAGAAAGCATTAAAAATAAAGGGCACTTACAACTCTAACTTACAACTTAGTAGTAAAATACAACCCTAACTTACAACTCACTAATAACAGAGTAAATAAAGCAGGGGCAGGTGTGAGGGCTCAATTGACTCATTCTCCTCTTGCAAGCTCCAGCCCTCCATGGGCACAAGTTCGTGTCCCAGCTGCTCCACTTCCTATGAAGCTCCCTACCTCTGGTCTGTGGCTGCCTTCGCATGAGGTCACTTCTGGTGAGATGGAAGTGGCCTTCGCACAGCAGCTTGCCAGCCCTGTGTAACATGTTGAAGGCAGCTCTTTTTCTCTTCCTTAGAACCAATCATTTAAATAAGCCATTGGTGCTGTCACCAAAAGGATGGACACAGGCCACCTTTCCCTGACAGGGCTCATAGGGTGTGTCCTGTCTTCTTGGTCAGAGCTCAGCTTTCAAAGGCTCTTACGATGAGCGACACTTCACAAGCTGAAGCTGTCAACATTCTTACTTTAGGAGTTTCACGTTGTCTCAGATGCTGTCAACATTTCACGTCAACTTAGAAGGAAGGTGAAATGCCTGGCCAACTCGCTCATCTGCCCCTTTACCCATTGGCTGTTCCAAATCTTGCCTGTCACCTTCATGAAGTACAACGATTGCTCTTGGTTTGATCCAAAATGAGATTTGTTGTTAAAAGTCAAATTTTGAAGACAGTCTTATTTTTCCTTTTTCAAAACAGATGTGTTTTATTTATTTGAAAGGCACAATGACAGAGTTATGGGGAGGGGAGAAAGAGACATAGAGATGAGAAACCCATCCACTGCTTGACTTCCCAACACCTGGAGCTGACCCAGGCCAAAGTCAGGAGCCAGGAGCCCCATCCAGGTCTCCCACATATATGGATGGCAGAGGCTGGCCAGCCCAGCTCCAGAGCTCCAATGGAACTGGCTGAGCCCTCAAAGGGAGCCATGTCCCTGTCCAATGCATCATCATGCCTACCTGGAAAGCTCCTGCCATCAGGGCTGCTTGTGAGAGGATGTGTCCCATCTCCCTCCTGACCCACCAGCAGGTCCTTCTTTACCTGCCCATCTGTGCACAGGTCTCTGCCATGACCCCTGACCCCTCACCCCTACAGCCTGCTGAACTGCTCTCAGGCCTGTCCTGAACCCAAACAGAGCCCACTGCACAGGCTGTTCCTCTCTGGATTTTCCCCTGGCCTCCACTATTGCCCAGCTGGAATAACAAGCCCAGTGGGCCTGGTGGGGGTTCTTCAGAGTTGCCCGACTAGGTCACAGTACCTGCTGGTATACACAAGAGCCAGGGCTGAGGACAGCACAGGTCAGGTTAGGGCTATAGCATCTATGCATGTACACAAAAGTCAGAGCTTGGAGTGGGGGTTCTTAAGGGTCTCCTCAGCTAGGCTGCGACACCCAATGGCACATGAGAGAGCCAGGGCTCGGGGCTGAGCCTGCTGGGGGGGGGTCCCTTGGAATTATACCAGCTATGCTATAGCACCTACTTGTGAACATGAGAGCCAGGACTGGGGGCAGGCATGGTGGTGGTTCTTAAGAATCTCCTTGGGCCTGGCGTGCTGGCCTAGCAGCTAAAGTCCTCGCCTTGAATGTGCCAGGATCCCATAAGGACACCGGTTCTAATCCCAGCAGCCCTGCTTTCCATCCAGCTCCCTGCTTGTGGCCTGGGAAAGCACTTGAGGACAGTCCAAAGCCTTGGGATCCTGAACCCGTGTGGGAGACCTAAAAGAAGCTCCTGGCTTCAGATCAGGTCAGCTCTGGCGATTATGGCCACTTGGGGAGTGAATCATCAGATGAAAGATCTTCCTCTCTTTCTCTCCTCCTCTTTGTATATCTGACTTGACAAAAAAAAGAAAAACAAAAAAATCTTAAAAACAAACAAAGAAACAAGCAAACAAATGAAAACAGAGAGAGAGAGAATCTCCTTACTAGACCACCACACTCACCAGGTCATTGTGAAGAGTTGGGCTGAGACCAGGACTGGCCACCTGCTAGCATGTGTATGGGTTAACACAGGGGGCATGCTGGGCCCCCTGCACCAGCCAGAGCTCATGGGCTCTAGCTTAGAACCTCTTAAGTGGGGACTCTTAAGGGGTTTCCCAACTAGACCATTGTGCTTGATCAATCCCTGACCTCAGGGAAAATCATGTGATCTGACCGTGCAGCCCATGTTATAGGACTGAGCCACCTCAGCGCTGACTCTCATGCAAGGATAAAGAACATACCTAGATGTATTCAAGAGACAAGACAGTTTGCTCGTCTAAGCAAAAAGACTAGGACACCCCACCAAAGGGTGGAAAGAAGGGCAAGCTGAACAACACACCATGCCAGGTCTTACAGCAAGCATACTGAGACGCTCAGGGACAGCCAACAGTCCTTAGAATTTCTCACCTCTGGTGTATCAAATCTGACATCTTTTCAGAACAATCAAGACCACTCGAGTAACACTCTTGGAACATTTTTTC